CGCGAGCTAAATACTTACTTTCGAGGGTCGTCGTGTCCAAGGTTAACCATTTACACGCAAATATCAGTTTTACTCTGCGTGACTATAACTTCTTTAGTCATGTATAGAGAATAATGGGTGATGAATTTTCTTCGAAACGACGAGTTTGCAATGATGTTTTTTTTTCATTATAAAGAGAAATGTAATTATTTAGCGCTATAATTATTTATAAGAACATGTTATATTCGTTATCTTTATTATAAAAACTTTAAATTTATAAATTCATAATTCTATATTTCGTTTCGTTGTCCAATATGTTGTCTAATTGCTAAAGATTAATTTAAAATAACTTGGCAATGGTTTTCTTTGCCATTTCTAAATTTTTTACGATTTATGACAAGAATTTGACTGATAAATTGACTCATATTGATTAATATTGACTTATACTGACTGATAAATTGACTGATAATTGACTGATAAATTGATTTAATTAAATGTAAGGACAGAATTATTACATCATCACAGTTCTTCATACTTTTCTGACTTATAAATAAATTGAACATTTTTTTTCTCAATAAAAATGATGTATAAGATCGATTTAGGGTTGAGATGAAAATAATCAAAAAACGATTAGGCTCTGAAAATTTTTTACCTAGATACGAGCCTAGATATATTTTTTTAAAGCATTTGACGATTTTAATGCCGTACTATTGTTCTAGAATTCAGTTGTTGCATTAAAAAAATTTTTGTGTAAAAATAACTATAAAAGTAAAAATATAGTACAATGATTTAAAGTGACAGTGACCCCATGGATATACATTATTGTCTATGATTATTTGAACGATATTTATACAGTATTCGGATTTTAAAAGTTAAATAAAAGTTTCATATTATTATTGAATTAACGCTGATTTTGTTGTATATTGGTTGTATTATATATATTCTAAATTTAAATTAGAAAGACAACGTTCATCGAAATATCTTCAACTATTTTTGAATAGATATTATATCGGGACATTGCCTCAATAATTAAAATTTAGAATTCATATAATTATAACCAGTATACAACAAAACAATGCCAATTTTACTAATAAAGTATTATTTGTTGACAGTATGGGCCATTGCTTGATTAGCTTTTAAAATCGGAATAAGATATCTATTGTTCAAACAATTTTTAACGATATTATTTAAATCTCTTAAACAATTTAACGATGAATATCAAGAAAAATAAATTCTATACATTGTTTATAATTCTGTATTATTATAGTTAATGAAACGGTTTTACAGTAAGAAACCTATATTTTATTTGATGTTTTTCTCCAAAGTAAAAAGACCTGTTTTTTATTTATTTCTAATTTAAGATAATTAAGCAATTTTTTGTTTGCTATTCCTAATTTTATAAAAAAAACTTGCAAATTTATTTGATTGATGCATCGATTAATTAAATTAGAAATAAAATGATTTTGTCACAATTTTAACTTGTATATAAATTTGAATGTTTTTTTTTTCCAATAAAAGTGCAATATACGGGGCCGACGAACGTGCGCGAGGGACAATCTTGGAACATCGAGTGCAACGATTTGAAGGAAGATGATCACGTTAGATGGACCAGGAATGGTCAGACGTTGGAACCTGAGTTGTCCAGTGGTCAGCTAGTTGTCCTTTCAAAGACCGAAGCCGGCAGCAGCAAGCTCTCGGCGTCCCAGGCGACTGAGAATCACGAAGGAGATTACAAATGCACCCCCGAGAGTCTAGAGTCTTTCCACCTGTCGTTATACTTTGGTTCGTAATGTTATGAGACGTATATGTCATTATTTTGAATTATACTCTAATCGCCTAAAAACTCTGTCAGTCAGAAAATTCTACTATAAAGTTTTTTCGACACCCTGTACACGTTTACGTCAGCATTTTTCCCTCTACGCGACAATATGACGCGCTTTTATCACTGTTTCCATTAAGAAGATTAGTATATTTCGCTATTACACCTACACATAGACTTATGCTCATTTTCATCAATATAATGTGACTTTAATCTCTGTTCAACTCACTCTTCATGTTTTTCTAATTCTTAGAACTTTAGAAAAAGATGAAAAGTATAAGTTTAATCAAAATTAAAATTGATCTATATTGGTGGAAACGAATATCAATATTTTAATATCACATTTGTTACATATGTGTTTATTGTAGATTGATCGAGTTTGATAAACAGCTAAATATCGATTATCGGTTAAATTAATAAGTCAAGTATTTACACCTCTACGAAGATACGTGGCCTATATCTGAAATCTTTTCTCAACATGTGATAATATCTGATAACTGATATTCTGCCTCGAATAAACTCCCAGTTATTGCGTTTACAATTATTATTTTATTCACTTTTCTTCTCAATGTATTCTCCGACAAATTCATGAATATTTATTGCACTATTTATCGAGCATATTGTATTAAAACTGGTAACTTAATTATAATCTACATGCAAGCGCTAAGAACATGAAAGGTTTATATTGATTACGTAATAATAATATATATCTCATTATTATAGACTATTCAAATCGTCCTTGTATATTTATAAATAATTAATAATCCATGTTGTGTATATAGAATCGAATTATATGTACATGAAATTCTTACGAAAAAATCGTTACTATCATTATATTAATCATATGTCTTTCTTATAAGATAATCATTATGTCTTACGTCATACTTTATTAGATAACAAAATTAGATTTCAATTTTGTTGTAACTAATATATATATATATATATATATATATATATGCAACAAATACTTTATGTTTGAAAATGAGCAAAGTTAATGAAAAATATAATATAACGCATGATTTCGGACAATTCACGTAGAGATGAATGAATTTATTTATTTAAAACCGAATATATAAATTGTTCGCGTCTTTTCAGTTGCTGTGTTTTCTAGCTATTATTATAAAATATTTAGGACGACGCATGCGCGCGCGCGTCCTAAAAATATAACGGCAATGGTAGTTGCCGACATTACTCATGTATTATAATGTCTGAAATAATTTATAGAAAAATTATAAATTAATTCTTTTATTATGTCATACACAGAAAATATAAAGATAGAATTTTAATTTTTAAAATCTTTGCACAGCAACGTTTACACATTATACATTATTATCTTTCTTTGACATCGTAATTGCATGGTTATAAATAATGGTATACCGAAAAACGTTTTCTTGTTTGGCACAGATATTAAGATTAGAGTACTTACGGCCAGAGACATACCTTTGGTGCTCGAATGTGCAAACAGAAGCGCCGGCGATAAAGTGCAATGGCAGAAGGACAAGACACCGTTAAGCACGGCATTTGCTGGCAACGAAGATATCATCAAGATTGATAATGAGACTGGCAGCCTGGAAATTTTAAAGGATAAGGAGGAAGCTCATGGAAATTATACTTGTAAAGCGGCTAACTCTACAATCGAATACAGAGTCGTACGTGAGTACTCTGCTACAATGTTTCTAGATTTATAGAAATATTGTTAGAAGCAAGCGGCTTACGCTGGAAACATTGTATGAATTTAGTCGTCACTATCAAGGTACCTACTTTAAGAAAAGAGAAAACAAGTTTTTTTTTTTAAAGATATTTTACCAGAAGAAGTTTTAATTTCACATTGGATGCTCTAAAATTTCAGCAAGGCCAATGGCGCATCTGGCTGAATCTACCAGTGTGGTGGAGGGTGAAAAGCTACACTTGGTGTGCAGCAGTCTCCGGCAGAGCCCCGGCGTAAAGATATACTGGACCTTCGGGGAACAAAATTATACGCGCAGCAAGGGTCGTGTGAAGATTACCAAAGACACAGAGAGGGGTATTTATGGCGCCGTTCTGATTGTCGACAACATCGAGATGAACGATCGCGGTAGTATTATCTGCAGAATGTCGTACAACTGGTCTGATCCCATATTGGAACATTCATCGGAGGCCAAGACATTCCTCAGGGTAAAGGACAAGCTTGCTGCACTCTGGCCCTTCTTAGGCATTTGCGCGGAGGTTGTTGTTCTATGCGCCATTATCCTAGTGTACGAAAAGAAGCGGAACAAAGCTGAACTTGAAGAATCCGATACCGATCAAAGTCCTGATACGTAAGTGTGTTTTAGAATTTGATTATCTTTTTTCCTTATGACATCTTATTATTTTATGAAATGTAGAATTACGATTTTGTATTTCTGTTCGACAGAAGTTCATTATGCAGTCTTTGAACCTAATCCTTAAGATGAACTCTCGGAGTGGTGTGTTCCTTTATATGAGCCCTTCCCATCCGATTTACCTCCAATACCACAGTTCCAATTCTCCAACAGCATCCATTTTAAGTCTACCTCGAATAAATTTCAGAAACATACTCTAAAATCGGCTCCAACTTGGTTAAGTTATTTATCTCGATTGTTTACGAAAGAAAAAACATAGATGAGGATTATTTTTTCTACTCTATTTCAATTCTATTCTACTTCTTTATAATAAAAATCTGCTTATTTATATTATTTATAAAATGTGACAAATTATATATATAATATATTGTATATTAATGACGAACGCTTTATATATTCTTGTGCTTTATATATGCATATTCTTTATATATTCTCATAGTTACTATTCGCCTGATATTCTGTTTTCATTAAATTTATAGCAAACCGACACCTAACAAGGAATCCGATGTCAGACAGAGGAAGTGAAACAGCAAGTGAATGAAATAGAACGATACAAGTTGGAGAACGGGTCGTCATGTGTAGAGAGCTGTAATGGAAATCTGTAAAGACAACGGAACACGGCTTTTGAATGAGAGAGAGAAAGATGTGTCGTCATAAATGTGGAATAAACACTGCAAAATGGACAGCAGCGAGCTTGAGTGGGCCATTCATAGTGCGCATCTGTGTGAAAACAGGCGTGTGCTGCAGACGCGTACAGAGCAAGATCACACAAGTTACTAACAAATTAAATTAAGCCTTATTACGGGGGTGTTCACTCCGATTTATCAGATGTTCGCCTGTTCGTATTCTTTAACTACACTGCTTTAACCAAGAGATGTGTCGAGTTATGTACAAGTGCCGATGATGACACGAGTGCGTGCCAGAGAATGGAGGGTATGTGTGCGTGTGTGTGTGCATGTGTGTATGTTATATGTGTACGAGAAAGAGAGAATGAGAGAGAGAGAAATAATGCATGTATGAGTGACAAGCTAACAAGTAAACAGACCGATAGATTGAAAAAAAAAGCAGAGATACAATGCAGAAATAAAATGGCGTACCCACCGAGCACGAATACGAGCGCGATTATGTATAATTTCTTACAAAACGCTTCGAGGTGCATTCTAACAAGCACCATAGTTCAGTCACGCGTTTACTCGTCACATACATTGCTCTATTGTCCCGAGTGGCGTTTGTATTCGCGTTTGTGGGTGTGCCACATATTAGATTCGCGTAGAACTTGGTTCTCAAACTTCGCACGTGTGACCGAAGAAAAAAAACTTTATGGTAGAGCCGAACATATGTGCTCGATGCTAGTTATGTAATAATAGGAACGCGGGCAGTGCGTGCCACAATTGACTTCCGGATATATGCTCGCGTACTTTTAGAGATCGCAAGAGAGAGAGAGAGAGATTGATTGTGTATATGTGTGTGTGTGCGAGAGAGAGAGAGAGAGAGAGAGAGAAGAAGAAAGGGAGAGAGAGAGGGAAAGAAAATGAAAGAGAGGGAGAGAAAGTTTATCTTTGGCGTCGCCTTATATTCCATCGCTCGTGAAGATATCCCGGAAGTCTGGCTGCACGCGACGCCGTTGTTAATGACATTAATGTAATTAATACTGTAATATTATTGCCATCGTTACTACTGCTGCTACATCTATCGTTATTATAATTATTACAAGTATTATATCGTTAATTTTATCATTCTATTGTAATAATTTATAATCCGTACCAACACGATTCTCTATATCCACAGTGTCGTCATTGTCACAGGCATTACAATTTTTATCCATAACGATTATTAGCAACCGTTTCGCAGGTATTTTGCCTGTTTATTTTTATTGTTATGACCGCTTCTCTGAAAACTGATAGACCAGCTGCATAAATAAAACAGTATGGAAATAGGATTTTAAAGAAGGTAATCCATTAAATTCAGGATGCGTCAGTTTTTGTTTAAAAATGTACAAATGTTTTATTGCTCAAACGCGCGTTCTCGCTTGCTCTTTAAAGTAGATGATGTAAATGCATCCCATTGAGTGTGTCGGTATTCTATTACGCGATATAAACAGACGCATCGAGCGAGATAAACTTAGGTACATGTTTTTTTTATCAATCTTTGAATTTTCGAATTTTAGAATTATTGAATCCTGTTATTCTTGGATCCGTGGGTCTTTCAAGTCTTATTTTCTTCGTGTTAAGCTATATGGCCCTTGGATCTTTTTCTTGAATCTTTGAATACTTACTGCTAAATCGTAAGATTCGTATTTTGAACCCAGAGATCCTCGGACAGTTCGGACTATCAGATTTTCGGCTACTACATGAAATTTACTTATATAATTATACAGTTTCTCCACCGCAAAAGCACAAAAGTTTGACGAGAGTTCATGCGCTCTATACAGAATTACAGGGCGCAGGCCCTATGGATATCTTCTTTGGTCGTAAGCGCCACTTCTATGCTTCCTACGGGACAATTTCCCTCCCCGTTTTTTAAACCCAGCGACTCGATTCAGATGGATTTTCGGGGAAGAGAAATCACGGGAAAAGAGAAAAAAAAGAAACGGATAAAATAGCACCGCACAGGGGTTGCGTAGTCCTTTCTTCGCGACCTCTGTCACTATAACTCGGATATGTACAGATCGCTTCGGTGAAGCGAGTAAATCGTTTTCTCGCGATTTTTTATCTGAACTTTCTCTTGATTATTTCGGCTGGTTGCTGTAATCCACATAAACGCGCACAACCTCGCCGCTGTACTTTCGCTGGCTGGGCATGAAGTAGAAGTCTGGTTGATTCGTTTGGGTTGCTATGCCTGGATTGTGCATGCTCTTGGGTCGCCCGTAATGATCCCTGCGATCTTGCGTATAATAACCATGTTGGATAGGCGCAGAATGTCTGGCACCGGGCGCGCGTGGAAGACTGTAAGTCGCTCTGGGTCCGACCATCCTGTTGGGCCCTTCGACTGCGTCGGTACCATTCATGCCAGTCATGCCATTGCCGGTCATCTCCCTAGTTCTCGGCAGGCTAGAAATCGGGGGCGGCGGCGCCTTTTCTTCCGTTTCGAACGCCTCAAACGCAAAGTTTGTGTTCGCGCCGGAAGCGTAATCCTTCCAGGCATTACTGGCAATCAAACGTTCCTGCGCAAAAAGATATGCTTAGAATATGAGATATGTGTGTAGATAATTTTACCAAAACTTTATTATTTTTTTTTTTTAATCATACCCTCGTTATTTCTTTATCAGAAATTATAATCTTATGTATTTCACACATATTTGTTCGTCAATTGGCGTAACAAAAAAATATTTGTCCACGATGATCTGTCGACGCATATATTTAAAAAATAGAAATATCCAAGTTAATTTAATCACCCTATATTAGTAGAAAAAAATCAAACGGGAAGAGTTTGATAGCGAGGTCATAAAGGCGCAAAAATGTGCGATTACAAAGAGTTAGGAAGAACCAGATAACAGCGAGTTAGTCAAATATTTGGGTTAGAGCGAAAGAACATAGGGATGAGTGTGACATTGCGCACCGATTATACTCGACGAGAAGCTCTACCAGCTGGGATTAGCTCGATGCAATTCAGATGAAGCGTAGTGATGCCGAAGCTGATGTTGATGATGATGATGGTGATGGTTGGTATTGTTGTTGTTGTTGTTGTGATGGTGATGATGATCGCCGTTTTGTTGTCGATGGTACCGTGTCGCGTTCGTACGATGAATCGGGTTGGGCGCATCGGAGGAAGCCAGAGGCAGCGTGTACACCCTCTTTTTTGGTCGCGGGAAGCGCGAGTCATGCAACACAAGCGAAGCAAAAGATGTCGGGTTCATTAGGGGATGGAAGCGTAGTTTTTACACTACAGAATGTCCCAAGAAGACGTACGCGAACGGCAATCTGATCTTTTAGGCTGCTTTCGCGAAGTAAGAGAAGAAAAGAGAAACCTGGTGTCCTTTGAATACTATGATTTTTCTTTTACAATTCTACGATTAGAATTTTTTTTAGCATTGAGTTATTTTAATTAGATTTGTTACGAGATATTACAGTTATTTAGTTAATACTACTACGATAAGTGCAAGAGAGAGTTCCATCAAAATGATGCTTAAAGACTATTTTTCTTCGGAATAGAATTCTGATAGCGTTATATATCTTTCTTGGAACACGTTAGGGATCACCACAAGATTTCGTTAGAGAAGGAACAGAACACAACACTTAGGGGGAAGACCTGGGAATGCGAGAAAAAGTGGAGAGAAAACAAATACGTGAAAAAGAACAAAAAGTTTCTAACGCACACAAAACATACCTTAGTCGCTCGTTTCCTTGAGCTCCTGTAAATAGTACAACTGGCTTGGAGCAAAGCGAGAGCTAGCAACGCTGCTACACAACCGACGACGATATAAAACTTCGTCGCACCCAGGAACAAATCCGTCGCGGAGGGCGGCCGATCATTTTTATCTTCCGTCTGTATGTCGTTTACTGAAAATAAGTATAATACATATTTTTATCTTGTGAAGTAGCTAGATCAATGGGGATGATGAGTATCTTAAATAATGTGAACAAATCTCCATTTCTTCGTACTTAAAAATTGCTATTTGAACAAATCTCCATTTGTTAGCACTTAAAAATTGCTATTTGAAGCTATATAATTAAATCATATAGTTCTTGAAATTTTAAGACGATTACTGTTGTGATATCTTGAAAAATTTAAATGTTTATTTCTTCAAAAAAAGATGAGAAATCATCTAATTTCGGATCTCAGTCTAGGATAGAAAATTTATCGAAGGAGAAGAGAGTTTTTTGTTAGAATTAGTATATGATATTTAGGATTAGTTCACAATTCATAGTTGATTCTTAACCGAGGTTCAACTTATTTCTCATTTCTTACCAATTCTAGAGATAAGGAATCCCAAGTAGCACATAGCGTCTACAAAGCGTAAAAAAAAAACACTAAAAAGTGTATATAAGCGCTTTTTTAATTAGCGCTTTATAGGCGCTACTGTACTACTTGGAATAAGTTAAACTTCGATTAAGAGTTAATCGTGAGTTATGAAACTGGGCTTTAGAACCTTAGTGCTTACCTCTGGGTGTTCTTACTACTAAGTACTGCGGATCGACGCCGAATCTACCGACTTGACCGGTCATGACTGACTCGCGCAACACTTTTTCCGCTTCTAAACCGGTATCCGCAGATTTTAACGATCTACCCTTGATCTCGGCTCTGTCGATCACCAAGTTCATGCGCGCAATCACTCCCCGTTCTTTATCTCTGCAACAAGAACGGAAGAGAGTAATACTTATCAATCTTGTTTCTTGCTACTTCTTCCTTTTTGCTGTCTTACTTTCGTAACTCGTTGAGATAGACGTGATAGTAACCCGGAAGCATCTTGAAGACTGGTTCAAAGCTCTCCGATATCTTGTTCGAGATTAGTTCAAAATCGGGACTATCGGATTCGGGAATCTTATATTTGTCACCCAAGTCGACGAGCTTGACTTCAACATCATAATAGAACCTTGGCGGTGGGTACGTTTGATCTTCAATTTCTAGGTGGACAGTTGAATGATTTTTCTTATATATAATCGGAGATATATTTTGAAACATAATAAATTAGCATTAATCATATTCATTAATAATCATAAGAAATGATGTTTTAACGAAAAAAATTAATTAAATAACAACCACGTTCTAATAACAATTGAACAAGAAAAATTTTTCTAATTAAATAATAATACATTAAATTAATGTCTTTTTAAAAATTATATTGTGCGTCAATAATTGTATCGGACAACTTTAGCAAACAACAAAAATACAGTAATCAGTATTTACCTTCCTGACCGCAAGACTTGATACATATTCTGTCTGAAGAAATGACCGGTTTCACATCGTGTTTTCGAATCTTCTTATTGATCGGATTAAATATGCCTCCCTTCACTGGGAACATCATATACAAACAGTGATCATCCGTAAACGAGAAATCCTTGACGTCTTTTGTTACGCGTTTTCTCGAGAATTGGAGAGTGGTTACGCCATTCTCGATGCGGCCGCTGATATTGTATACGTCTTGCGATGGATCCAGCAACGGCGCATTGTAGCCACTGATCCAGGTGTCCATCACGAAAGCCCGACCGTTTGTCTTATCGACCCAGCCGAGTATGGCATCGGTTTGTGACTAAAAAAAAATACAATATTATCTGAAAATTTCATAAGCTCCGACCTTCCTCCTCTTTCGCGACACATTTCTTTTCAAGGAGAAACGGCCTGAGAATCAGTTCATTTTTCTTAACTATCAAATCTTAGATTTCGTGATTTAGTTGAAAAATTATCGGACATCAAAGCGGAGCACACAAACATTTCAAAAATTCACTAAAAAGCCGAATAAAACTTTTCTATTGATCAAATGTAGGGTTTGCTCTATCTTTAAATTTAAGAAGAATGTTTGTGTAAATAGATACTATATAAACTTAACAACTTAATACTATTAATTTAATAATTTTTGTATACATAAATTCGTTAAATGAATTATCGAGAGAAAAAAAAAGTCTTTATTTGAAAAAACAAAGTCTTACCATGTTATTGTCATCAGAAAATCCAACACCGGTCCACGTATTGGTATTTGTCGTGGAGATTACGAATGTTATCAGATCCTACGAAAAAAGGTTTCCATAATACCGGATTTCATCAGAGCGGTTTTATCTACGTAAAAGGATACGCCAAGAAAATATGAAAAAAATTACCGTTTTATCCTTGTATGTCCATTGTACGGCATATTCACAGGTGTTATTTTCCGGCGAGCAATTTCTTGGATAACGCCACTGGCCACCGCAAATACCATCTTCCGACACTACACCGCCAGCGAATTCCGGCCTTTTAACTTCATCTGAACCGTTCAAAATATTAAATATTATATCCAAATATTTAATGGACACGTCATATAAAAATAAAGAACGTTTTAAGAGTTAATGAAACATTTTTTCTGCATAATAAAAATGATTAATAATGATTCAGGAAAACGATTTTAAACGCCACGCGAGCATCAATAATCTCTGGATAAACGCGGCGGATGCTGAACAGATGATCTCACCGAAGAAATTCATAGTGACCGCGCCTCTCTGCATTCCATGGCCGTGATATTTGAGCTCGTCCACCTTGTAGAAGTCTTTAACGCCGACCTTGGCCTTTTCGATCCCGCTAGCCGGCTGGTGTACATATTTGTCCGGCTCTTGACCTTTTGCCCAAATCACCTGCATATTGCCATCACGGATCTCGTGATCAGTCGGCTCGTTTGTGGCCAACTTCCTGCGGAAGAGTATCGTCGTGACGCCGTCCAGTTCGTAGCCGAACGCGGCCGTCAGGCTGTCCCTCCCATTCTCGTCCCAGTACGCGTCCTTGCGCGGTGTCGATCTATCCCTCGTGTAATAATCGCCGATCCTGTAACTCGTCCCTCGCGCCGTACCGATTATAATGTCCGTGCAGTCCATGGGGTTGAAGTCGTGCTTGGGCGTGTACTTGTGTCCTGGTGCCGGCAACGATGCTTCGTGTGTGCGAATAAATTTAGTTAACACAAAGATCCGAACATTCCGAAAATTCGTAAAATTCCGTAAAATTATCATGTAGAATGCCTGTGATGAAACTGAACGGTGAACTAATTATGAAATGCGTCCGATTTATTTTTCGACAATCGAATTTTTTGTAACTACATGACTCGTCTTTGCCTAAAGAGAAATTAAGATTTCACAGATACATACGTCTTGTGGCTTTTTTTTCAAATTGTTTAAGAAGGTGTATTTTCTCTATTATTCATACAACTTTCTAATTAAGAATGTATTATCAAATATTTTTTAACAAAATGAAGAAATTATTAAAAAATTACAAATCTTTTAATATTGTATTTAAAAGTAATATAAAATGTTTGACGGTGGTTTAGACCCTGAATAAAAAATTATTTCAATAAAAAAATAGACATGTTTTCAAAAAAATTAGGAAAAATGAAAAAGTTTTCATTTAAACTATAAAATTATTAAACGCAAATATTGATCTTATTGAACTGTATACATATGTATACATATGTATACATATACATAGCGTTCGTTTTTTTGTACTGAAAGTATAAATTGGCAATTCCATTCACTTTTTGCAAAGACTATATAACATCTGATACATCTTCAATTAAAATATTTTTTGTACGCACTTTAAGTTTTTTTAAAAACTTCTGTTTTCTCATTGGTGCATTTCAGTCCCGACATATTAATTCTTGGTCTGGAGTGAGATGAGTCGATGTTATGATAATGCAGGAGTTAAATGGTGTCCTACGGTGTCGTAAGAAAAATCGTGACGGATAGAGATCGAGACACGTGCAAATTTCGTGTCAAAGTAATACATGCTACAACTCGGAAGTTATTGATATTTACAAGGAAAATATAAAATTCTCATGGTGAGCAGTGTACAGCGACGAGGACGTGAAGCGTTAAGCGTTATCGACATGATCTCTGCATATAGTTGTCTACTTTTTATTGCTGCGTCCAAAGACGCAGTTGGCAAAATTAAGTCAATAGGAATTTATGCGGAATTAGGATAAATGCATTAACATTTTACATCCAGCTTCGGTATCCGGTGGCGGAAGTGGCGGACGGAATAGATTACTCTCACGTTTTATCAGCACGCTAAATACGCTTTCACGGTAAATATTTGCTGTTGCAGTCCTCACGTTCCACTCGTGCAAACTTTTACGTTACGGTCGTCGTGAAAGTCGCGAATATCGAAAGGAATATGAGCAATGTACATACACCCTACTGATTATCGTTGATATATGTTCTACAACTACGAGAGATTTTATATTTATCATTGAATTTGTTTTCATTAATGTAATATACTTGTATAGAATATACATATACGTATCGGAATTATTACAACTTGTATTTCTTTTTCGTTACAACGTCAAAAACAAAAATTAAATAACTAAAAGTTAGAAAGCGAAAAATCTCTGGTAGCTTAGGAGTTAATGATATGAGAGTGTAGCATGGCGATATGTGCGAAATAAGCGTTAAATCGATCCTCGTTACCTTTCGTCGCTCCCGACTTTGGACCCACACTTGGCTCCGGTTCCGAACTGGGTTCTGGTTCAGATTTGGGTTCCGGTTCAGACTTTGGTTCCGGCACAGAATTAGGCTCCGGTTCGGATTTTGGTTCTGGCTCAGAACTAGGTTCTGGCTCGGATTTTGGCTCCGGTTCGGATTTTAGCTCCGGCTCGGATTTTGGCTCCGGTTCGGATTTTGGCTCCGGTTCGGATTTCGGTTCCGGCTCAGATTTCGGTTCTGGCTCAGAGATAGGTTCTGGTTCAGATTTCGGCTCTGGCTCGGAGCTAGGTTCTGGTTCGGACTTTGGTTCCGGCTCGGTGCTAGGTTCAGGCTCGGAGCTAGGTTCAGGCTCGGAGCTAGGTTCAGGCTCGGATTTTGGTTCCGGTTCAGAGCTAGGTTCAGGCTCGGATTTTGGTTGTGGCTTAGAGCTGGGTTCAGGCTCGGATTTCGGCTCTGGCTCGGAGCTGGGTTCAGGCTCGGATTTTGGTTCTGGCTCAGAGGTAGGTTCTGGCTCAGAAGTGGGTTCTGGCTCAGAGGTGGTTTCCTGCTTGATAACATCGCCGGACTCGCCGACCTGTTTCCCTGTGCAACAAAGCATCGTACGTCGTGCGAACTACCTACTTATTGGGGCCATCACCTCGTGCGTCGTGTCTCGAAAGGAGGTTATTGTTACACCGACTACAGGGATTTCTCGGGTAAATCTACATATCGCTATTAAATTTCTGAGCAAGCGAGCGACTCATCGGGGCTGTTCTGGGCATAAATATCTAATACATACATACCAAGCGCAGAGGCTGCGGATGATTTTGGAGATCTCCTTTTGCGACCTAAAAAAATATTAATTTTCAACCAAAAATATTGCGAAGATTACGTTACAAATCATTATCATTTTTATTATATTGAAATTTTGAAAGTAACTAAAATTTTCTATAATAATCGTAGTTAACGTCTTATTATGATAAATACGAAGAAATAATTCTGTCTTTAACTTTTATAGAATTTGCAGTTTGAAAATAAAAAATTATACGTGTGCATTTTTCACATTCGATGTACATATTCTCTGACTCTTGTTTTACGTAGTGTATTATTATTCTGAAACGGATTACTTTTGTTTGCATTGTCATTTTTTACAACCATCATTTATGTAATTACGAACTCCTTGAACTCTGAACGAATCATACATAATACGTCAGAATACATTAACTAGTACTGATAGTGTGTTAATGATTGTGTCGCCTGTGCGCGACATGGTAGAAAAAAAAATCGAGTAAGAACACTAACAAATGCATATCATGTATGTATATATTACCAGACTGTTTTCTCTTCCTGCAGGAACGCGTAGATATTCATTTCGTAAACGTACAAGAATATTGCATGTTGCAAGAAGTGACATGAGTTTCAAAAAATGTGAAGACAGTTATAGCGAAATCTATTGCAACTTCCTGAGATACTCTATCACATAAACATTTTGCAATATCGACAAATACTTTCTTTCCGGGAAATAATGACGTGATATAACGCGATAAATAGATCTACCTTGTTTTGTGCTAACTTGATAGGTCACGCTGGTTTGTACAGTAACATCAACATCCGGTGGTGATGTTACTCCAAAACTCGCAGCATCTGCCTTCGCCGATCGTCTCTTCGCTATCGATTTCTCGCCTTCTACGCCGGGTTCCGGTTCCGGTTTAGGTTCTGGTTCCGGTTTGGGCGTCGATTTGTCGACGGGTTCTGATTTCGGCTCCGGCTGCGGAAGTGGTTCAGGGAACAAATCCTTAATCGTAGGGAAAGATCGGCAATTTGGACCGAGATCGCTAGGTCTCCATCCGATACCAATCCACGTTGTGGAGTTGGCTACAAGAATGCCTTCCAGTTCCTTGCTCTCCTTCAATATCCGCCAGTAGAATATGATGTCGTCGGAGAATCGCTTCATCGAATATACATCCAAGTTTACGTCGATGCTTCTCACCGGTGATCCTGAAAGTAGAATTATTGATAGAATAAGAACGATTGTCACGGACGGTTTCACCGCAAACTCATTGAGACAACGCTCGCTACGGTCTGAGATCTTCTTAATCACTTTTTTTTCGTTTGATGGATGCCAGTGCTCGCTCGCACTGGCAACTATTAAATGATTAAATCACTTCTATTTCTATGGATTCATTAAAAAAATAATGGATCATCAGTCTTTAGCTAATACAACGTGATCGAGAATTGATAGTTGCGAGTAAAATTAATTATTAAATCTCACAACAAATGTGAATATGTTGAATAATTTTTCACATATATTAAAGAATATGATAATAGTATTTGTAATGTGAATTTGCTAATTTTTAATATGTTATTAGCTATATCTAAAATGCAATAATAATAAATCAGAAGTTTTATACGCAAACAATTAAAAAGAAAGGTGATTGAAAAAATTAATTTTTTCAAGGCAATTGACATATAATTTTATAAATATTTAAAAGTTCTATTGTGTTTTATTATAAATCGCTAATAAAAATATCACTATAATATGTTTGATGCAATAGTCATTTAAAAAGATTTAATTTAATATAAAATAAAAAATAAAAAGATATAAAAAGTGCAAAGTTCATAATATTTCTTTAAAAAAATTCGTGTCTTATTTTTTATATATTGATATTAGAGAAATCAATTCTTGGAATCTTTCTTTTTCTTTTTTCAATCGCGCCTAGATGTTTGATATCAAGATCAGCGAGACGCTGATATCGGTTCTCCAGAAGCGGTTGTCGCAGCTTATGCGAGAAATTCTCGAAGGGAAACTTACTCTTCGCGCAACCCGGACCGAACCATCCGGCGCTACAGTAGCACTGCTTGGTAGGCACGGTCGTGCCACCATGGTCGACGCACGTGCTCTGAATACCGCAGTCCATGTCGTCCATGCACTCCTCCTTAATTTCGCACCTCGGGCCGTGGTAGAGACGGTCGCACCTGCACTTGCCTACCAAGGGACGCCCATGACCGCTACAGCTCTCTTTGTAATTCACCCTATCGCGAATCTGGTCGGCGGAAAAATTACACATTTTACAGACCATCCGAGTGGAAACTCGGAGAGACGGAGAGAAGGAATTTTGCGACTGCGAGGGAATTTGTTGTTAATTTCATCTACGAAGATAATTGCTACAGGATGTTTTGTGAGACATCGTTAGATGTGAATTGTCCCAAACAATTAAAATGACGTCAAACAGCATCTTAATAACGTTTTAATGACGTCTTGAACAACAATAAGATATTAAATAAGTCATTAAAACGTTATCTTGCTACTTGGACAAAAATGGCTGGTTGGATTGATTGAAATTCTGATTGAAAATAGATGAATCAGAATTTTCTGGTTAACTCTACTAAAATTCTAATTGAAATAATCGGAATTCTGATTGATATAACCATTAGACACATTAAGAGAAAATTTAAAAAATTCCGTAATAATATATATATACAATTACACATTATAATAATTATAATAATTAAATATATTGCTAATTGAAAAAATACGTTGATATAATTTTTAATGATACATTGTCAATTCAAACAAAACTGTCAATACCAAAATACGTCAATAATTTATTAACAATTTTATATTTTATTCGTTTTTATGCAACTTTTTTGTATCATTTTTTTTCAGTTTTGTTTAATAGCGCGAGTAAAACGTGTTAACATCGCAATGTATCATGCTACTCAATTTCGTTTTCCGTCGTTTCTCTCATCAATTAAATTAATCGGGTTAAAAGCTACATTTTTCAAGAGAAATCACAAGAAACTCACATCGATGTCAGCGCACGACCAAAATCTGTAGCTGGAGCCCCATTCCTCGGCCTCCCGTAGCAACCTGATGGTGCAGTCCGTGCAGGTGAAATCTTGCGGCAGCTGCACTGGATACCTCTGCGCCCTGGAAAATCGGAAACATCAGGCTTAATTAGGTAATCAGGCTCGAGAAGAAAGACGCATCATCATGCACTTACGTGGCATCGCCCTCGACAAACTCGCTGTTTTTTGTGATGGGCGTCAAGTCGATCAGAGGTCTGTCATAAAAGTCTAAGATCTGAAGACGAAATCCTCCCTAAAAGAGTGCGTGAAAAGTAAAGAAAAAATGATTTATTTAAAAAGATATATTTACGAAAATATATATTTAAACCTAAAAACTACATATTTATAAGTCTAGTTATTTTTTAATATTAAAATTAATATATTTTATTATTGATTAATAATATCGATGTCTTCACGCACATTTATTTTATTTCAAAATTTTGAATCTTATCATAATTGTCGTAATTATCGCGTTACTCAACATTAAAAACATAGGCTCAACAGAAGGATTATATTTTTGTGAGAAGTATAGATCCGTGCGCCTGTCGCGTATCTAGGAAATGAAGAATATGCTCCACAAGTCGTGAACTGAATGTCTGTCCATCCATCCATTTCTATTGTGCCCATTCATGCCATTCCGTTAAATTTATGGCTTTTTCCTCCTGAGTTCCGCAATAAATGACACATCAGAACAAGGCAACACAGTACAGCGGCTTCGATACCAACCAATACGGAATTGATGCAAGCAGATTCCGGTCGTACAATTTCTCGATTTTTTCCCCCCCCCCCTCATAACTTGTCGAGTTGCAGAAAACATCGCGGATAATTCGTTCCGTTGCTGTCAATTGGCCACGCTAGCCTCAATAAATCAACAATAACGGATACAAATTTTTCCGCTTTGAGTTTACTAGCACAACTAATGTTATTATTTTACAATTTTTCATTGACGTGTTAGCAATGACTATATTAACATTAAACTATATTAATTATATTAAATTAATAACATCATTATTTTGTGTGATGGCCTTTCCATCATACTTAAACAATTTGATATTTCCAAGAATTTTAGTTGTAATTCAAAATGCCTAATTTATTTTGACAGATATTCCGGCCACCAGCTATGGCTAACAAATAATAACAAAAACGTGGAAATTATGTTAGTATAAATTTTGATAAAAACACATCCATAGCCACGCAAGGATGTCGATAATTAGTAAAAAGAGAGTCTAATTGCATTAATTAGAGTTCTGGGTAAAAATGGACAAGAATTTTGTGATTGAATCTATTATATTTCTGATTGAGATAACCAGAATTCTAATTGATATATAATCAGAATCTCCTGGTTCATCCATTTTCAATCAGAAATTGTTCTCAGTACACGATGAATGGAATCACAAGCGTGCGCGAACGACGCGGATGTTTCTCGGTCACGTTATTTCTGTTAACGTTTACTCGTAAACGCGCCTCGCAATCACGCGCTTGCAACACCCACTAGGCGGTTTATGAAACGTGTCCCGAATTGAGAGCGCGCGACTAACTCGCGGAGGGCACAAGTCCCCTCCCCCCCCCCCCCCAGGGACCACCCAATGTCCGCACTGTCCACGGGCCACGGGAGTAACGACGGCATAACGACAGCGGGTCTAATGAGCGGGTCGGACGACCGATTGATATGCGCCACTGGTTGCGACACCGTGTGAGATTCTTTATCGTCGCGTCCCGAGCACCGTTAGGAAAGTGCGTGGTGCGCCTGTATGCAGGCCGAAGCAAGTTCATAAACGCTATTGAGTAACATCCGCATCCGTCTCGTTGTCCGTAGGAAGCAGCAATGTAAGAATTATCGCGACGCGATTAATAGCCGTAGATGCTATTGTAACTTAATCGAGGTGTGCAACGTGTAATTCCTCTTTCGGAATCGACAATCACTATTGTGGTCATCGGATCGAGTCTTTATCAACCTATATCATTATCCTTAGCCTCGACATTGTTCTGATTATATTAATCGACAATGGTTTCGTTCAATTGATATTTTTGGCTTATTCTTATGTATTTTTTTATAATGTTGATTTTGAAAGTGAGATTAGAATTTATATATCTTGCTTTAATTTTGTGTTTCCAACATATTTCTTTTTAAAAACTTATATAGAATTAAATCAAATTTTTATACACATTATACTAATGAAACAATAATCAATATTCCTGTAAAAATTTATTCGGATCTACTTATTTGTTAAATAAGGTAGATTATTGATTTAAAATTGCAGCAAAATATACTCATTTTAAAAAAGAATTCGTAAATAAGGCCTTAATAGTCAATCTCTAATTGTTAAAATTTCGAGAATTCGTTACATCGATAATATCATATAACTTCGTATAACATCGAATGACTTAAGGAGTCTATAACTTATTTAGTTATTATTTTATTATTATTATTATACTTATTTTGTCACATAAAATCATTATGAGTCAAATTGTTTGTTTTGTTTCACATTCACGAGCTATAATATCGTCAAAATTTTTTAAATTATATTGGCCGATTATTTTAACTAAATTTATCTTCTGAATATTTTTTATGTGACGTCTATGATGCAACGAGCATTGGCGTGGATGCAAAAGACGCGCGATGAACGAAAACCGGTGGCCGCCGTCAGCGGTGTTTCGAGTTTCAAGAGGTCGCCGTGAAGGAGAAAGGGAAGCTACGAAGTGCCGCGGCTGCGTGGTACCGCTTCGCACGGCGAACACACCTGCACTCTCGGCAGGCACGGTTGTTATTGTCGAATTTTTCTCGTGCCACAGATATTTTCACGGCAACCGGAGAGAGGGTCTACGCCGCGCCGGCGGCCAAGATTTCAACCTGTCTCTGTCGTAACGTAATCCGCGCGCGGATGTTCATTACGGGTGTACCTTTCATCTTTCTGCTTCGCGAAATCTTCCTGCGAATGACTACAAGAGAAATTTTGCAAAATTAAAAGCGACTCTTTCTCCGCACTTTTAACTGCTGTGCCTATTGATATATTTCTTTGTAAATCTAGATGTACTAATAAAAAAAATAGAGACAGAGAAAGAGAAAGAGAGAAAAATATAACATTAAAATATTTTCAATATTAAGAATCTTTATTTTAGACTGCATATGTGAGAAACACAATCAATACTAGAAAAATGCCTATTACGGTCGAAGGTGGATCTTCATTGCTTTAAAATAATTCAATCTCTTGCTTTAAAATATTTTGTTTACTATGTTTTGAAAATTACAGTCCAATTCTTCGATTAATCCTCGCAGAGAAGCTATATGGTATAAGAATATAAAGGCTATGTTTCAAAATTTATTGTCAATACTGAAAATCTAGTGCATGTAACGTAAACTATAATAGATTTTCAGTACTGATAAATTTTGGAACACAGTCAAAGTATTCGATTGCGCATATTAACGGTAAACTAATAGAACAACCAATCAAATGCTTATCTTAAAGTTAATGCTAAATTCAAATATACAGCATAGGTAAAAATATATATAACAAATATACAGACACAAAACTAAAATTCTACCTGCTGTGGCTAAATGACAATTCAAAACATTTTATTCGTGTCTGCAGTGTCTGTATTTTTAAATCACTCAAAATAATCTTCTAATGCACCTACAATCTAATACACATAGTAACAGCCAGTAACAATCATGTTGCTTTCTTCTTTTTTAAAATACAATTTAGAGCAGCATTTTGATTGGTCAAAGAACAGCCGCCATGTTTTGAATGACTGCGTTTGGAGAACTTCGGAAGTTCCTTACATTCTTATACCATGAAAGAAGCCACTATAATAATGTTGAAACAGTGCTATATTTTGAAGCAAAGATACACAATGAATCATAAAACATAAATCTTATTAAAAGCAAAGCTGTAAGATTTTTAAAATAAAAAATCTCTCCCTCTGCCCTCTAAAGGTTAATTTATAGAATAGATTTTTTTGTTAATAAATTTTATTCTTTCAAACAACAAATGTCTGTAGAATTAGTATATAAGTTTTCTCCCACGGTTTATGTGTACATTGTCCATTGTTCTATTATCGCATATATATATCTGTTGTGATGTTTATTACGATCTGAATAATATATAATATTTTCGAAAGAGATGCGATAATAGATCGCTTTTACTTTTACATCTATCTAAGAGTTGCAAAGAGAAAATGTAAATATCTGCCGATAATCGTGCCGCAAGGACGAAAATCGTTTCGAGAACGAGCATTCGCTTCGTCCGCCGCACGCTTCGCTGAGCAAGAGAATCGAGGGTTTTGCACGTTAGCCGAAGGCGAGGGACGACGCCTTCGTGCTCGAGCGATCGTCATCGGCGACGTTCGAGTTACGGTACCCAGCATACCGATCTGTTCTGCCTTAGAGACGCTCCAGGCTGCACACTCTGCCTGTTTGCCTGCCTGCTTGCCTATACCGCCTCTATTCGTCCTACTCGTGGATCTACATGCCTACGAGGAGACCACGCTCGTGAATAATTCAGCACGCGTCACCTTGAGCGACGAGCGCGTGTAGGCAGAGAAAAGAGGAACCTCTTTTCTTTGGCTCGGCACTCGGCACGTCGTCGTGCCGTCGTCGTTGTCGTCGTGGTACTCCTCTCCTTTTCGTAGAAAAGTACCACGTGCGGACAAATTCGTAATGTCCTGCGTCGAGTGTCCGAGTGATCGTTACGTTGAATACGAACGACCGGCCAGCGATTATCGTCGAGCACAACGAACACGTCGGACGAGCGTTTTCCCCCGTTAATTGTCTGACGGTGCGGTTAATGAACAATGAGGAGGCTGTTATTGCTGTTGTTGTTATTATTTGACAATACCTATGCGCTTTTACTACTGCAGACGCGTCGAGAACGCAATAAAAAAGGTGAAATAAAGGTTGCTCATGATCGTCTTGAGCTGCGAGAACAGTGACGCTCGTTAGAAACAAGATAAATAAATTATTGCTTTTGACCTGTGACGTTTTGATGATTCGTAAACTATCAGATTTGATGGATTTATAGTCATGACTGTGTAAAAAGCGTAGAGATTTGTACAGAAGCTTCTCTCTTAGTTTATAAAAATCAAGTTTGTACGTAGGTGAAATCAATCAACTTTAATATATACCACCTTGATCTTTGAAAGTAAAGTTAAGGTCACTTATTAACTCACCTATCGTATAGGGGAGACCAGGGCTAAGTTGGCATTTGAATTTTGTAGCAAAAATATATCTTATGAGTTCCCAATTTATATTGTAAATGACATCTCGTGTGTCTTCTTTACTAACAAAGTTTGATTAGTTTAGGTGCAGCGTAGTATTATGTTTTTTAGGTAGTCAAACGTGTTTTCATAGTCAAAAGTAATTCTTGAGATTTCATTTTCCAAGATCACATCATTTTTTGTTTATAGGATGAAATGAAGTTCCAAACACCAAAACTTTTTATTGCCATCTTGTAGTCTTTTATAATCACTCTATAAAATGCTAATAATCATTTGACTAAAATCGTTTATTTTATTATTGAAAACTGCAATTGGGAAAAAGGTGCCCACTTAGCTCCCCTACGCTATAAATAGATTTTTATATGGTCCTGCAAGGTTTCAAACAATACAATTTTTAATTTTCGCTTATTTTTTAGATTATATATTTTGTATAATTAATACATATCTTTTTGGTATATATAATTTTAAGAAACGTACAGTCTATTTTATTCTTTATAAATAAATTGTTAATTATCCAATAAGAAATGCTCATCAATTAAACGTCGAATACGTCAAATTAATGTGGAGAGAAATTATCGTATTTATATCGACTCGACATTAATTCGATGACTCATTTCTCGCTGGATAATATTTACTTTTCAAAAATAAAGTTTTTTTAAAAAATATTTTCTCTGTACAAATACTTTTTTCACTCACTGTATATGATCCAACTATTTCTTCGCATCGCAATTTCTGAGTTTCTGCAAGGGCTAGTAAAGGTTTCTTTCTCAGATGTTAATAAAAGAAAACGTATATCTTTTACGATCCTGTATAATTCTCTGATAATATACAATGTCCCAGCAATATTCTCAACACTTTGTTCTTCGACAGTGCTTTCTACGAAAGCTCGTAAAAGTATCTGTTTCTCTTTCGCTTTCTCGTAAATGACGGCGACCGACAAAAATTAATTTTAATAGAGCAAAAGGGCCATCGTTTACGGTCTCTCCTAAAGTTCTGATAACACACGGCGCCTCGATAATCTCACGCTTCACGATCAGTTAATGCTTTCTCCGAAGTATCGTAAAGCTTTCTCCTTCGAGTCGATCATAGGTATCATGCGTTCAACAAGACTGCGTCATGCAATTGATGAGTAATTTAAATACAATTTATCCGGATTTAAATCTAGATTTTAATCGTTCTGTATTACACGAACTTTAATTTTAGCTATCTAGAAAGCCTACTCCTTGTAAACGGACGGCAGTCATTATAACTCACTGTGTAATGTGCGCGCTGTGTAAAAGGGTTAATTACCGAGATATAAAAAGAGAGCTAGAAGGAAAGAGAGAGAGAGAGAGAGAGAGAGAGAGAGAGAGAGAAACCTCGAAGTACGGTGTTACGCGGATACCCGTGTGGTGTACGAAGAATGCTCCATTATGCCAAACGCGTTTTACGTCCGCATCGGCCGAGGACGCGGAGCGGCCCGGAAAGTGGTCGGTGCTACGGAGAAAGTGGTCCCGATGTGAAATAATAAAACGCACGGTACGTGATTTTATCCCGTCTTCACGTAACCGCTGATACGACTTTTAAACGGCCAGAAACTGCCTGGAAGTGCGGATGTGTAACGCGCGGCGAATTTAACGCCGACGGCGATGGTGACCAGGCGTGTTACGTTTTGTTTCTCCTTTCTCCCTCGCGTGAATCCGCGAGAAATCCACGAGCGAGACATTTCGTGCGGCACGGGGCCGAGCGATGTGTAAGGCGATGATAATCCATTCAGAAACGGGTTCTTTTGTGTGTGTGTCTCGTACACAACGAAAATATTTTATATAAATTGTGTTAGAGATGATCCACTCATATTTATTAAAATTTATTGTTAAATTTTTAACGTATCCGAATATCAATTTTACATAATATAATTGTCATTTGCCTATTCTGTGTTAAATTGATATTCAACATTCCTTAGTATCAGAACAACATAATTTATAAATAAATGCAGAACAAGTAATATAAAATAATAGTTATGCAATAAATAAAAATAATGTATTTTAAAATGTAAATTTTAAAATATAAATACATATAATTTTTAAAAAGTATTAATTCAACATATATTATAAATGTTAATTTATAACATGTTTTACAGAAAAAAATATGCTTCTACACGGAAAGCTCATTATGTATAAATTTTTTGCTCAATATGTAAAAATTTAGCTATAGATACAAATCTGGAAACAATTTTGTTGGTTCATCAAAATAATTACGTAGGAAATTCAAGCAATAATTTACAAAAAGTTTTGTCATTTTAGCAACCAGCTTGAACGTCCTACATGTAATTATTTTAGTAGTTCAATTAAATTACTTTCAAATCAACCTAAATTTTTAGATACTTCGGCAAAATCGTTCTTTCTGTATGGGTTTCGACACTATGTCACTTTTCACATTGCTATTAATCGATAAAAAATTTCGATTTCATTGCTATAATGCTATAAAAAATTTCAAAGGACTCGTAAAAACTTAACTTACCCTGTGCGGATAGGCGAGGTGCCACGTGACATTAAACTTGCTTCCTGCCAGTAATGATGTCTTGACGTGGCCTGAAAAACAATATTTGAAATCAAAATTAGACTGACCGTAATCTCTTGAGTAAAGTGAGATCGGATATTGATAAATAGTATCGCGTTCCGCATCGTCGACGATTGATTCTGAAAATTCATCGCCGTTAAAAGTCGCGAGGCCTGATTTTGGCCTCGTTCGAGTTTGTCGCAACCTGTTTGGCCTGTTCCGGAGGCCACGTATCGCTAATACCGATAAGTCGCAATCTAGCACTCTAAAAATGCTCGTCACGGGACATTTCTGGCCTATTAATTTACATTCAGCCTTCTACCGAGGCATCGAGCATTTTATCGAGCTTTTCAAACGAGACGAAACTTTGAAATCTAGTTGTACTAATTGTAGGAGAGAGCGAGGAAATTGTGGACGCGAAATAAACGCGGACGATACTATTGCAGTATATTAGAGTAGCGATAATTTCTCATTTCTCATTATATCCAGTGATAATCCGATGTTTAGTATCATTTAACACGTGACTATAGAACGTACATGCTGTTCAAGATAAACATGTTTTTGGTGATTTTAATGTAGGGGAGAATAAAGTACTTGCGAATACCTAAAGGAAAAGTAAGATACAGCCGATTATTTATTATTTATTAAAGAAGAATTTTTTATTCAAAGGATTGACTTTAAACTACAATATTTAACATTCATATAGCATTAATATAAACTATAATTTTAAACAAAAAACAAAACTGATTCGGCGTTAATTTGCGTGACGGTAAGTAATTCTGAATGGTAAAAGTCTTGTTTTTTATTTAAAATTACAGTTTATATAGATAATTTATAAATGTTAATTATTATAGTTTAAAGATAAATAACTAGAATATCTACTTTTGAATAAAAACTGTTATTAATTGATAAATAATTGACAGCTTTATTTAATTTTTCCTTAAGTGTCGACAATTCCCCCACTTTCCCCCAGGCTACATAAAATTTCACCGCTCGCTTTAAGAAAAAGAATTATATAAAATAGATGATCTATTACGTGCGTAAACGAATTTAATCAAGCATACACATTTCTTGAAGCCTGAAGATTTATTGAGTGGATATTCTGCTAATATTTGATCTTTAAGAGATTTCGAAAGAAATTAGAAACTAACAATGGAACAAATATTTTTCCGTGCAATATAGTCGCTTTTCAATCAATATTTCACGTCATATTTTAGCTTTCCTTTTATTACGATGATTATTTAAGGAAAAAGAGAGCAGTCTGATATCATAGGCCGCGAAGTTTATGCATTAATGTAATATAAATGCAAATAATTGATTACCCTCCGGTACTGTTTTAATCAACTTTCTGGTATTACTGTAATATCGGCCTCTTCCGCTTCCCCAAGTCTACGGAAGGAAAGCTGTTCTTCTCTTCTACTGACCGAGCAGAGCCGTCAGAGCGGCTCGATTAAATTATAACCGCAGAAAGAAAAATTTATTACCGCGTTCGCGCAGTCGGTATGCGTTAGTGCAATCGCGAAGGCAGTCAAGTCAAACCGCGGCTAGTTTTAGTCATTATAATTCAGAATTGAGTGTGAGGTAAGGCAACGTTCATAAAAATCGCGAAGGAACATTCAGATAGATTTCTATATACCCGCAGCGACAAAAATTTTTAGAATCTTTCCCACACAGAACAGCTTTGCTGTAGTAAAGATTTAGTTATAGACACAGACCAGAAAATAATTTCGTTGGACTATCTAAATAATTATGTAGGACGTTTAAGTTGGTTGCTAGCATAAATTTGTGTAGTATTGCTCATCGAACTTTCTACATATATAATTATTTTAATGATCCAACAAAATTATTTCAAACCTGTATCCAGCTAAATTTTTAGATACCTTCAACAAAATCGTTTTTCCGGTAGAAAGAATAATTCGTCACGAGCAGCATTATTTTTTATTTAAGAAATTATAATTACAATTAAAAATTAGACAGACTTTAGATATAAATATACTTTCTTCTTCTATTTCCTAGCGGATTTTTCAATTAGTATATTGAGTAAGAAACAAGCCAAACATCAAGAAGTAATGTAATACGTAATTGGACTGCTTATTCAAATAGTGTCGGCAAATGAGAAAGATACAATTGCAATCTTTTAATTCGTTAATTGTAGTTGACGTAAATGTCACTACGCAATCACACGCACTTACGTAGCGTGACGCGCGCGTTCAAGCTGCAATTTTCTACGACCGGTTACGCGACTTTTTCGCAATTTCATGCGACGCGTGAGAGAATGAGTAGCGTGGTACAAATTAATCACTGCCCCGATAACGAGCGAGGAGGTGGATAAATGAGAGCGATGGGGTTAGCGCACGGAAAGAAGTCTCTACGAAGAAGACTTCTTTTTCTCGAGCTAACGAATCATTCGCATTACCCACACGAGAGAGAATAATGATATCTCTCTTTTCTCTTGCCGTTGCATAATCCGTGCGGTACCATCTACGGCGTAGTCTTAATTACGCTTTCGCAAGGAAAAATGTGGGGGAGAAGGGAGCATCGATGACACCGAGTAAGGTAATTGCGATTTCACGTTGTCGCGCGATGCAACAATGTGAAAACGCCGAATGTAATAATTATCTACGTTTTCTCATGACAGCTTTCCACCTCGTTGGTTTTACCATTTTAAATCGAATTAGTTCAAAAGAAAATTAGAAAAAAAGTAAGAGTCCCAAGAGAGAGTAAATGACAATACTTCTCCCCCAGTTTTTCGATATACACTTCTTGTCGCGAGAATGTTCAAGAAGTATGATTGAAAGTTCTCTGTTTTAATTTTTTCGCTGTGGGCCTTGAAAAAGAAAACATATACAAAAGGAATGGTTTTGCTATTTAATGCAGACCTGATTTTATTGGAAACATGTTAAAATGATTTTTTTTTAAATTTAATTTAAGGACATTTTAATAAGTAATTCATACTAAACAATTTTTTCAAAATGTTGACTCTTGCAAACGTATAGGTGATCTCAGATGATGTTGATTGAATTAAAGAAATTCAACTGATAACGTCTTCAAATTTGAACATTGTATTACATTACACAGGGTCTGAAAAGATTAAAAATTTAACTCAACACACACGCACACACAGATCTAAAAATAATGTTGTTGGACTAAATAATTACGTAGAACATTCAAGTATAATAAACAATGTTACAAAAAATAACGAAATAATTCTAGCAATCATCTTACATAACTATTTTGATAGTTCAACAAAATTATTTTCAGATGTGTACCTAGCTAAATTTTTACATTTCATTTCAGCAAAACCATTCTTTCCGTGTATATTTTTCTTTTCAAGACCTAAAAGCGCAAAAATTAAAATGAAGAACTCTTGATTGTGTGTAGAAATCTAAAATCTTATTTCCCTTAGCGCAGAAAATGAAATATCTATTTAATTATTAATGCTACTTTCATATCATGTCCATCTCTTGCATCTCACGTACGTTCAATCTCGCAGATATTCTTTCTTTGGAGGGGAAAGAAGGTCAAGTTGCGATCTTCCTTAACTATCACGGTCAGTTTCGCTCTTCCCCTCTGTAGATGCGGCCCTGGGTATCAGCGGTTAGGTACGCGTAAAACATGAAAGGTAATGCCCGCGAATACCGAGAGGTTCGCGCTCCCTTCATGCAAGCTGGTGAAAGTCGCTTCGAATCGGACTGACTGGCGGCGACGTCGGCGGGCTGTATCCCTCTACCGGGAGAGGGAGATCGAGCGTCCGCGTTAATGTCGTTTTCCCATAGAAACCCGTGCCCCCTGCGCACCATGCATTCAACCCTCCCGCTCCCTGCTCCATTCCTCTAGACGAGGAGCGACTCTCGCACGAAAAGTGCCTTCGCCGCGGTTTCCGCAGAACACGAGGCGCTCTCGATCAACGAACTTCCGACTCTTAGAGAACTCTAATTCTTGTTTTCCTAATTCCCGTGTGTATTACGCTTCTACTTCCCGTACGATTCCGACATTTCGTCGAAAGCTGAAACTTGGAAAGAAAAATTTTGCTGAAATATCTAAAAATTTAAGTATATCTCACTGAGAAAAATGTGTGGTTGAAAATAGAACGAACCAGAAAATTGTGATTTTATCAATCAGAAATTCCGGTTGTCATAACTAGAATTTAGTAGATTTAACCAGACACAATTCTGATTCGTCCAATTTCAATTAAACATCCAACTAAACATTTTTTTCAAAGATACAGATCTGAAAATAATTTTCTTGGATGATCAAAATAATTATATAGGAAATTCAAACATGATGATACTGCTTATTATGAATGTCAAAACTTTGATATTCTAATAACTAGCTTTCTACATAATTATTTTAATATTTCAACAAAATTTATTCTGCAAATTTCTAGCTAAATTATTAGATACTTCATCTAAACTGTTCTTTCTATGAATACTTTTCGAAAAGTGCTCGAGATAATTATTTCGCAAGGTTTGGTGTTATATTTTGTGTTCTAAAAATAATTAAAAATTCGGTTTCATTATTAATAAATTAATTTTCGTATTTTTTAAATGTATTTCGTCAGACTTTTGTGTACTTTAAATTTTTGACAAAAAAGTTAGATCTACACATTAAACAGTTTTCTCGATAATGATGACAGATACGGGTTCGACGCGTAAAACTTTTCTCATAAATCTTGTCAAGAGTGGAAATAACCTTCTGGCATTATAACGTATCTGATATCGTTTTCTAGATAACAATAGTTTGTCTAGATCTACAGTAACTTTTTTGTCAATGTAAAAATACGTAAAAAATTTTTGTTTTTTTAAATGTAAAAAAGTTTTTATTGTTTGTCTTTCAGAAAGAATTAGATTAAATAGCATATATCTTCCAATTAATACATCTCTTTGCTCTCTAAGAAGGATCTGATACTAAATTAGGGAGTTTTTGCAATAAATGAATCCAGATACGGTGAGCTAAAGTCACGTTATCCTTTTCTTAATTAGTTGTTAAGAAGAAGACAATCAAACCTTAGCGTTCACTGTATCTGAATAAAAGGTATTGCAAAAACTCCCTACTAACTATTAAGAATTCCTTAATTATGGTAAAATTAAGGTAAATACTTAAAGTCTGAAATATATCATACACTCGAACTAATAGGGAACAATTAATAATAATAATGATTTAGTAGCACTCACCACGCGGCATGCCGCACGGTGCCGGCGTTCTGGCATTATCCAGGAAGTCCAGATCGTAGTGCCTGGCTGGCGGGAATGTCAGAGCCACGTGAGCGTGAGTAATTCGCCAAAACGTCATCGTTATTAATGTCATCAGCAGCGTCATCAGGAACGACGCGAGGAGCGTCGAGCGTTCCGTTCTTAGCGACATCTTTCCGTGAAAGCTTGTTTTCACGAGGGAAAATAGTCTCTGGCAAAAAATGACACGCCCTTCACGTTTCCGTGTCTTCTATTAGTGATTTTTGCTCGCACACTCCTGAGATCCGCCTACTACTGCTATTGCTGCTTCTGAGTCCTTCCGCCCTGCCCGGCATGAGCAAGTCCAGTCGCTCCTGCTCACTTCGGTGAGGCCGATCTGAAAGTCGAACGATGAACTTTGTTATTTACAATTGATCCTCGATCTCAATTACCGATCGGAGTAACAGTCGTATTTTCTCGGGATCCGTATCGCGATATGAAAAGCGTATTCAGTGCGATAAATGTTATTATCTCGTTTGTATAAGGTAACTCCGGTATATACACCGCGCTGGGATTTATGCCGCAGAAGTCAGAAAAAATAGAAGGAGTAGAGGTAATTTTCTCGCAATTATTCTGTTACATGCCTTTATGTTATATTAGTATTGAGTTATAATTTCAGCTTCTTACTGTTAATATTAATGAAATTATTGTGAGTTGAATCGATTTATCACTGTGTGTGTAACAAGTAACATCATCATAAATTGTAATGTACATAAAATGATTACTGTGAGGCGTGTAAAAGACCTAGTGGTTATTTCGTGATATATATGTGTAGAGGAATAGTAAAACATGTTGTATATATAGCAAAATACAAGTGCTTTGCTTTCGTATTCTTTGTTTAGTTTGTTGAAACCCTTGCATTTTTACCATATATCCCACCCATTATCTATATATAGCAAAAATGCAAGATTTCAAAAAGTTTATTTTTTAATACGAAAACTAAATATTTCGGATTTCTAATATTTTTTTCATAGTAGTAGACAGTACAAAGTTTTTACTGATATAGTTCGTTTATTTTAAACATAGTAAATAATACTTGATAAATTAAGTTTTTGATAGGTGCGGCGTATATATCGGAGTTACCCTATTACATTTAGAGCTAAACTTATGATAATTAAAACATTATACGGAAGAAGAGAATTAAAAATGTCTAAATTTACCTTTCATATTTCTTAAATATCTAAAGTTTCCTTTACAATAAATTTGAAGTTTTTTTAAGGTATAAAAGGAAGGTTTTCCCTTCCAAGGGTTAACTAGATACAGATATGAAAAAATTTTGTTTGGACCAAAATAATTAAATAAAATACTGATTACTAGAATGTTGTTTGTTAACACTTTTTTGTCCTTGTCATCAATACTTAAGCTTTACTTTGACGTAATTATTTTGATGGTCCAACAAATTATTTTCAGATCTGTATTTATGAATTTTAGCAAAACCGTTTTTTTCCGCAAAAATTGAAAAGCATGAACAAAAGAAAGAATTTTAAGTTCATAATTTTATAAAATTTATTTTGTCTCAAATATGCATCATGACCTATTCTATTTGAAGATCATCGATCACGTAATCTTTTCTCTCAAAAGTGAGAAGGTAAACAGTGAAAGTTTCGCCTGTCAAAGAACGATAAGGAATAAAAATCTTCACATGGATTTGCCGAAATCGTGCTTGAGCAATTTTTTTTCGGTGCGCGAACACGTAAGAATTGAATTGGAGGAGAGATTTGTTCGAAAGAGACGAAAAGGTGAAAAGTGAAAAGTGGAAACGTTTACGTGCAGATTGCACGATTGACTGCCTGCCCGGTCGTATGTTAATTCATTCGTTCGTGAAGACGCGTGGGAAATAGCTCATGTGAAGATAGATACGCTTATACGAAGAGAATCGGCAGGAAGAAGACGCATGAGTGCCGTAACCTTGCCGTCATACTGCGTTTTGTTCGTAACAACGCAACACTTTGGCTTATAACATCAATTTATAATTTTATTATTATACATTAATTTATATTACATTTTATATTAAATTAAAATTCCACGCGTCGCGTTATTTCGAAATAGACAAAAAAGATTTTTTTAGCATTTTTGCCAAATGTTGAATATAAATAAAAAAATAAATTACGCATTCGCAAATATATCGAAAAATCCATAATTCGTGAAACTGTTTTACTGTTATACTATATACGGTTTCAAAAGAGTGAGGTAGCTCGAATCATATCGCTTTCTCTCGCGCTATCTTTCTATCTCAGTGTAGATAAAATAAAAACAGATTTAGTAATAGTGAAATTTCCATACTTTATCAAGATGCCACCAGACAGAAACGCACCTACGTAAATATATTCACAAACACGCCTGCTAGTTCTTCGATAGCTTTCGCCATGTTAGGCGCTTGTTTCTTTGCACAACTCCAATGTCCGTTAATCCGTGATGATGTACGTCGGCATGCCAGGCACGAGAACGTAATAATTGCAAAATAAACACGTAACGAGTGGATCAGAAGAAGAGCCTGACGTATGCGGCGGAGGCAAGTGCAAAAGGAGAAGGAGAAGCAACAGCTTACTTTTCCTCGACCCGCTATCGATCTTCGCGATCGTACTTTGCGAGCTGAGATCTTGCAGATCGTATAATTCGAAGGATACCCGCGTCTCTTACACATGAACATCCTCTTTGCCACCACTACCATCACCTCCTCCTCCGCTTCCGTTGTCGAGACAGAAGGACGTGCGTAGAAAGAGTTCCGAGAGAGTCACCAGGACAAACGGAAAAAAAAAGAAAGAGGTTGACACAAAACATTGAACGTGTTTAATGTTTGCGCGTAGAGAGACGTCGAACAATAAAAGTTATTAAATAATATTAAACTAATGTATCTCATAGAATTAGACATGTGAGTACACAATCAACAGGAGATAAATGTCTTTTAACGAGTCTAGCTGGATCAAAAGTACTCTCTCTTTTAATACTATGTGAATTTATATACGTATGTGTAGTCCTTTAAACTGCGTGCCGAAATGATTTTTCGGTCCTGAAATGCAAATTCCACTTATTTATATCCAATTGCAGCAGTAACATGTATATATATATTACAAGTTAAATGACTAACAATTAAAAAATTCGGTGCTCATTAGCATAAAAAATTATTAAATTAAACAGCGTGAGTCATACACATCTCCTGACACTTTGCAGCATTCTCGACGATTCGCGGCGCCCTTTGAAAAAAAAAGCAGCGTCGTCTCTATGGGCGAGATGACTGAGGTGAAACTAATTATATCCTTCTAAACTTGTTGACGGTGCAAATTATAAAAGAATGATGAAATTCTTATTTTTGGATCCTTTCCGCTGAGTTTCTTCAATAAGTTTTAGGAATTGGAGATTATTAAGATATGATTTTATATTATTTTGCTACGTTTATATGGTAAGAATATTTTTGAATAAAAGTATATTGCTAATTCTGTTATCATTAAAAAGATATTCAAATCCTTATTTTATTACTTACTTATTTAATGTTTTATTATTTCTAAAGTAATGATCAACTTGCAATCCAATAAAAAGTATAAAATAATTGTATATTGCAACATGAAAATGTGAAATTTACTTCCGTACAAAAAATGTTAAAATAAACATTGCTTCATAACTTCGTTAAAACTGATTTTTGAAAAAATATATGAAATCTTTAAATTGTTTGCGCCAAATGAAAAAAGAAAATATTATAACAATTTTATGAGATGATAATTTTTTAAATTTAATAAGGGAATAGAAGGTATTTAAATGCAAAATTTACAATGAGTTAAGAAATAGAATATAATTATAAAAAATATGACATTAGGCTATATAAATTTTAAATCCTATATTTCCTCACTTTAAAATAAAATTTAATTAAATGCAATTGCGATTTATATATGATATTCCAGCGTACGTTTTCATAAAGTATTTTTTAACGTATATATATTTCACAACAACTTAATCGAAAAGAGTTGAATAGATAACAGTGTAAAATAAAAAAAATTTAATAAGAGTAAAATACCGTGTTTAATTGAAGAACTAATATCCCCATTTTCAGCACTTGGCTCCGTTCATTTGTGTCGCCGTGAATAACTTCGTGCAGAACTAGTGAAAAATTGAGCCGGGGAAATTTTTTCGAGTACGGAGGAATTTATATTTCCGCGATAACACACACATACACACAAGAATTAGACACAATTTCGCAACGCAAATTCCGGTTCAACTTATTTCTTGTGGATAAAACATACTTTCTATTGCACACGCTATTCGCTGCGCATGGCGCGTTCATGAGTCATCGAAGTTGAGATACCACCGTCGGAAGAACTGTGCATACCGTACGTCCGCATCGGTGGCGAACAATGGGTGCGCAGCAGCCACCAGCCGGTAATTATCTTATCGTTAACTCCTCTTTCACGAGTCGCGGACGTGAGAAGCCACCACGAGAACCGAAGTCTCCAGGAAGTCTCCTGTTCGATAACGTTTGAACATCGTTCATTGGAAATGTTTGTTTATTTAGATTTGTTTTTTATGATATTTTTTTTTAGCAACTATCAGTCTTCCAGCGAACGAGAAAACCAGCAATTAAAAGAAATATAATTTTTATAAACATAATTTTAGAAATTATATTTCTTTAGCTGCTAGCTTTCTTATAAATTCACATCGAATTATTTGAGTATTTAAAATCCAGCTTGACCGTTAAAGACTTTTATTCCCTATTTTTTTACTTCACATTTACGGTTTTGAGAAATTCTTTATTTGATATTGTTTATAATATTTTAATTGTTTATGATATTTTATGCATTTCTATAGCATTCGAAGAATATCTCTGTAGCACATGACGGCGCATTCGTCTATGAAAAAGAGGTGACAAACGCGACATATGTGAGGAAATTCTTTCTTGTTAAGTCCTGTCACGCGAGTGTAGTCAAACGGCGTGAAAATATCGTGGATTGGAACCACCTGTGCGTTGCATAATTCGCGACTAGAATAGAAGCGTGAAGACACGATGCATCGAGGACGATCTTCCCATCGCTATGACACATCGAGCGATGTCGATGTCGATGAAAGGTTTTATTCAGGCATCGGATTTCCACGTGGGAAGCAACGCGGGAGGAATAAATATGCACACAACGTGGTGTATTGTTCCTCAAACTGCAGGCAGTGAAGATGTACCACAGCAGACTAATTGGTAGAAAGGAAAAGGCTTGTCTGCGTAATGGATAATTAAGAATTTCGCAGCGAGTTAAATCTGAAGTGAATTTCTGCTAAAAGAAACGAGAAAGCATCTGAAAGATGTTTACAATGAGAGAAAAATGATTGCACGTTGCACTTACTATAATTAAAATATAAAAAAAGTTGTAAAGAACTTTTGATAATGTAAAAATTACATTTTTATATTTTTTTACCACAGTTTAATCCTCCATCTGCAATTTGACTCTTTTCCGACACAAGCGAAGGTATGATTTCTAAAACACATGTTTTTTAGTCTATCTTGTGTCTCTAAATTTTAAATCGAACTATTTTTCAAACGATGCTATGTATGGGACATTAATTTCAGAAAAAATTTAAATTAAACATAGAGATAGTTTTGGAGATAAAGGGGATCAAATATAAATTGAACTATTTTGATTCTCGGTATCTCCAAAACTACCTCTGTGCTCAACTTAAATTTTTCTAAGATTAATGTCCCGTTATATAACATCCACTTCGAGAAATAAGTTCTTTTTTATTCTCAAATTTCACCCTCATTTTTGCTTAAATTTAAATATTTAAACATTTGAGTTTAAAAACTATTTGTTAATGTAGTAGATGTGTTAAAAAGTAACCATTGGTGTAACCGTGAATTTTTTCATATTTTTGAAAGCCCAAAACAGTAAAAAAAAACTTGGGCTGAATAAAAAAAACTCAGATTGCAAACGGAGAGAATAAAATATGATTGCAGACGAATGGTAAATTAATAGTCATTTTTAAAGCCAATTATACATTCTTTATAAAGCTATAAATATAATAATTATTATTAACTTTATAGCAGTAATTAGAAAAATGGAGCTTGTAACTATAATTATTTTACCATGCAATTGCAGTCACCGTTACTGAACACTTTCCTTTCACAATCAGTATAATTAGAAGAAAATTAATCTAAAATGTTTCATGGACGTTTAATTAACAGGAAGAAAATTGTCAACGTAAAAACTAAATTATCATGACCGAATTTTGTGTTAGGCTTCTAATTAAAATCGCAGGAGAAGAACAAAAATTTAAAACACGTCAGAAGAAGCTCGAGGCCGGAGAGTTTGAGAATTCTTCGCATAGACAGCTAGGGCAGTTCCCTTCTTCGCTACGGAAAGCGAGCACGGATACCAGAACATTCCGATGAAGTTCATTCCCTCCGATGACTTTGCTCGCGAGAAGCGAGCACGTAAAAATAACAGCTATTATGGAATCGTCCAGAGCGGAACGACAGCACGCAAGAACTCGACTCGACTTATTACTGATTTCGCGTGCCAGAAAATGGACGGGTCATTCGACAGAAGCTGTCAACGCGAAGCGGCAAGGTAGATGCGCAAGGAAGATAATTGATGAACGAAGTACCGATGAGAGGATAAGCTTTACAAAGAGAAAGAACGAAGATAAAACATGGCTGCCGCTCCTCTTGCTCGGCTGTATCTTGTGCCGTACACTTTTATTAATGCAAGTCATTATTTATTGTCGAGGTATAGATCTACGTGGAGATCCATTACCCCGAAGTTACGATAAGGCTAATCGATAGAGACAATGAAAAATTGATTTTCTTTCAGCACCCGATTTTATATTCCCAGAAAGGATATAAGATATTAAAAATTGACGCAATTCAGAAACTTTATAATTCCTGTCTGAGTGGAAAATAATTCCGAATAATTTGAGACTAATGCACAAGAACATTTCGCAACGTGCTTGATTAATGCACACAAATTAAATTAGGTCACCAAAAATTCTCTCTAGATACAGATAGACAGTTATGTAAGTATAAATATTGTAAAAAGAAGACGAAAGACTCAAAGTCTCAAGGATTCGATGCATTTTGATGAGTCTCGATTAGTCATTCAATATTCGACCGTCCTCCACAAAACAATCTGCATCTCGTTGAATCAGTTTTCTGGGAATTCGGTCGACTAAAAGAAAAATCACGAAACAAATAAAAATATATAATACTTTCAGAAGAAAAGGTAATACGAGTAAAATATATAAAATTATTCAGAACAAAAGAGAAAAAAATCGTATATTTTAAATTAATTATTTACAGCAGTATTAAATATAAACAAATCTAAATAAAGAGCATATAAGAGTCAAAAATCAATAAAACTTGAATATAAAAATATACATATATAATAATATAATTTTCTCGATATCATAAAATATCTCAGAACAATAAAAATTTATTCTGAGATATTTTATATGTTATATCATCAAGATTTTTAGAGGAATGATATCGAGAATCTGTATTATTAAATGTATATTTTTATATTCAAGTTTTATTAATTTTTAACTCTTATATGCCCTTTACTTAGATTTATTTTTATTTGATAACAAAAGTCTTTATATAACTTTATATTAAATATAAGTTAACTAATATATATGTATATTAATCACAAATTGAGACTGATCCGTCGCTGTTCATCTCGAAGGTACCTTCTAACTATGGGAAGAAGCTACCGATCGTTCTCATTGATACATCAGTCCACATGCACGAGAAGCGGTGTAAACGAGCGGGCGAGCGAGCGGGCGAGCGGCGCCAAGAGGAGGATCGGGAGCGAGAAGAAGAAGTGGGAGATTAAGACCGCAACGTACGTGGAACGGTTCTCCTTCGTTACGTCCTGGAAAGCTACCTGGCATTCCAGCAAATGCGATGCCGTTGATCTCGTTGACTTCCCGTTCTCACTGACGCATTCAGCGCCGGCGCTGAGAAATTCGCGAGGACTCACTCTGGCGGAAGTCGACGCGATGCCGGAAGTGGCGACTGCCCTTCGTTCTAATCGCCGGTACCGTCGCAAATTTATCTGCTTCGTCCCCGACATTGAACGCGACGTTTAACTTCGTCCTTGGGACTTTTTCGCATGAGTTCTAACGAGTTTTTTCCGGAAAAGTATAGAAATTAAAAGTCAATTGCGAAATAGTCTTACACTAAAAATAAACCTCTTTGTTCACGATTACATCATCTTTCATGTATAAAATTAACATTATTATAAATTTAATTTGTCTTCAACATTATCTCATAATTATTTGATAATTACGCTCTAAAAAATGTGGATTTTACATCGTATGGTGTTGATATAAATCACCAACATGATGTGAATTTTCCCTAATGAGTTTTAAATCCAAATTATGACAATATTATCTAACACGGTGAGAATTATATAAACATCGCATCATATATTAAATCCACACTTATATTTTTTAGAGTGTATTTAATAATCCTCTTTACTGCATTTATTCGTTTTTATATAGACGGAAATCCGGCGAAACGACTGTTTTGAAAAAAAAAGAGAAAAATAGTGATAATGAATTCTAACAGACTTTGCGACGCCGCGCCAATTACCAACTCGAATCATACGAGGACGTTATTCGAGCGGCCTTGGCCGATCGGGCGTCCCTGCCGATCGTGCTCGTTTGCACTCCGCGATCTTGCTTCTCCTACCTACATACCTGGACCGGTGGTCGCGATGTTATCTCGCGTACGCGAGAGGGGGGGAGGTGTATGCAGCGCGAGGCCGGGCGGGGGCCGCGAGACGTTTATGGAGAACGCCGCTGCACAGCGGCGATGTATGTATTATGGAAAGCGAGCTCTGGCATTCCATAGTGAGCGTCGTCGAACTCATTAACATCCCGTGCTCGTTGGCGGCGCGGCATGGCACGGCACGGCGTCCCGTTTTCCCTCGAAATAAACAAACCCGTCGGCGTTACGACACCGAAGCTGAATAGAAACGATAACGTTTCTACGTGACGTCCAGCGTAAATCCGCCGCGGAGTTTCTTGGCGAAGAAAAAATCGGAATTAAAGTGCGACCCATCTGATATCGGTTTCGTACGGTACTATCATGATTGCTTTCGGTACGGAAAAAAATGATTTTCCTAAGTTATATAAAAATTTAGCTAGATACAGATCTGAAAGTAATTTTGTTGAACATTAAAATTTAAAATAATTGTGTACGCTTCAACGTATACATTACTAGAAAAAATTGTAACATTTTCTAGCAATATTTAAGCGTCCTACATAATTATTTTAATGGCCTAAACAAAATTATTTTCAGATTTATTTTCAGATCTGTATTTAGTTAAATTTTTCGATATTTGAGCAAAACCGTTCTTTCTATGTATAATCAATAAATTAAGCTGCATACTGTAATTGACAATTTTACATAAGTAGATAAATATTACGAGGCCTTACGAGGCGGACGACTAATTTTCTCTTTAGTCGAACAGCACGTTTTCTCATCTGATATACAATTATTTATGAACAATAGACACGTTCTCATATTTATACAATACAAACTGTTCAAGGATCAGCGCATTTATTAATTCTAAATGTGTCTATAATTGTTTCATAAATTTTCATTTCTTCTAAACATATAAATATAAATTTTATTTCAAATAGAATTTATATATAAAATACACATTTAAAAAAAATATGTATAAAATATATTCTTTATATTATTTTATGTATTATCCGAGCTTCAATGTTAACATCTTCAAGTGCCAAGTCTTCTCGACGTAATATTAGATGGATACGTAAACTCGCGGAGTAGTTTCTACCCTTAAACTTTAGCAACAAAAGGCAAAGGATTTGCGAACATTTCTTGCTAAACAATTACGAGAGCGATACTCAACTTCTATGGTTACGTCATGTTCGACGGTTAATTAACGTCAGCTTATTTCTCATAGAGAACGTAACCAGCCACCATGCGGATGCCGTCGACCTCGTCGGGTCGATGTTATCACACGCCGTATGTATTTTCATTCAGTACCGATCATCATGGTTATTCATCGGCTGTACATAACTTCAGAGGCGTCCGAAGCGTCGAAGACTTTAGATAAGTTTAAACTCAAGTTACCTGGCTCTGACTTTCGGTTTCTCTTCGTTCTCCGCTTCTTCCTTTTTTTCTCTTCCTTTCTACCTGCGCGATTGAAGGATCCTATCCAAGGCGTTTCTGTGCCGACGTCATCGCCAAGAAAGAATAAACCCTCGTGGGAACAAGCACCGTCTGAAAAGGATTTCAGATCGCACTAGGAAACCCGGGGGAGTTTTCTCAGCGCGCGGCCATTTTGGTAGCGGTCGACCGGATGTTCGCGCGTCCGCGGGAGGCGAGAAATCGCGAGGATCGAGGCAGGCAGGCACTACTTATTCGCGGGATGATACCATCGGGCACCGCGACACCGCGGAACCGCGTAGACGACTGACGCGACGGTGACTCGCTTCTACTAGGCGAGCGGGCGAGCGGGCGAGCGAACGCCGCGAGCGAAAACTCACTTTACGCTCGCCTCCACTACCACTTTTGCCTCCCACCTCCGCGAAGCCGAGGACTCGCTCGCCCGCTTTCTTACCTGACTGCCTTACCTCTTGGCCCCTCTGCTCCCCGCTGCGCCTCTGCGCCTGCTAGAGCACGCTCGCTCGCCCGAATACCTGCAGCATGCCTTCCTCTCGAACGAGCGAGCGAACTCGACGTGAAAAACTACGGGATGAATTACGCTGGGGAGTAGACGGAGAGGGACTCCGCGCGCCTCCGGACCTTTACTACGTACTGCCGTAGTAAATTCGATATCTGCGCAGAAGAGCGGTCGTCCGGCATTCCGTGAAAGCCGAGCCAAAACAGGAATCTCCCGTTTGGAGCCTGAATTTTTCAATCACGCGCTTCATGCAGTAACAGACCGTATGGATTGAAAGAATTTTGTGCTCCAAGCGCAACGCGGGAATGAAAATTATACAGAAAGAATTTTTTTACTCGATTTGAAAATCATTTCCTTGGAACATCAAAATAATTATGTGGAACACTTAAGCGTTGATGACAATGGCTGCGTTTAACAGAAAAAGCAGCAAATGTTACATAAGATTCTTTAATATGATTGGATCTTGTTCTTAGTTCCTCATTGGATCTAAATGTATGAATCTCAATTACATGAAAAACTTTTACAACAATTGTAAAGTTTTTTCTGCTGAACATGGTCAACTGTAAATAAATTTAAAAGACGAAAATTGAATTAAATGTATTGTACTAAGTTTTTAAAGTATGGAAAGCGGAGTTACAAAAATAGAAACCGTTGGTCTAAATTAAATAATATGAATTAAACGTCAATAAATATATAATCTTACAACATATGACTATGTTCCGAAGGAATTTCTGTTGCGTGATATGTAATTTTAAATACAACAGGTGTTGTAAGATAACATAACGCAACCGGTGCAGCGACAACATCGCGATAGTTGATTTTAATATACATATCTCAGAAATTCTAGATCCGAATGAATCATAAATGAACGGTAAACAGATCAATCGGTTTTCGTAACATCGTGTAGTGTATCGTATATAATAAAAAATAATTAACATAACATACATAATGAACTTCTTGCGCTGCGTAAACATAGGAGAATAAATGTTCTATTTATATTTATTTTCTGTTATTATGACTTTATCCTACGTTATTTTATTTTTGTATTATTTAATTATCTTAACCTATGTTTTCTTTCATCTAATATATTTTTGTATTCAATATGCATCCAAATTGTGATCAAAACATCTGCGTTTTACTTATGTAATTTACTGCAAATGAATTTAACATTTTGGTATGCGTGTTGAGTCCAATTGGTTTTTCTTTCTTTATTTGTTTTGATTTTTTTGATTGTTAAAGCCTGTACTATTTTATTACTGTTTATATTGTATTATATTAAAATGTGTGATTTGAGAGAATTTATATAGGAGAATGCGGCCATTCCATTTACGAGCTGCACCTCGTTTCAACAAAACGTGAAAATATTTACGCGAATGTGGAAACTGTACTATATCATTTCCGCAAACTCGAATTACCTTGAAACGTCACGTCGCGTAAATAAAAATGACAAAGTTACATAATTCCCAGGAGAATCGCGTTTCAGATGCAAGCGTCTAGCTGGTGAATCGCGCTAGCGAGTTGCATTCATGCGCGGCTGTTCATGAAATTTCGCCAGGCTTCGACTCGATCGATCCTCCATCGATCGGAATTTTAGTCGAATTGCAACTCATCGCATTAGGCAACTATGCTAAATCGGCGAAAATGTTTCGCAGGGTCAACACGTTTCCTCAACGATCTGAATCTCGGATCTATGTTTCGCATCTGATTGATTGCATGTTTCAATTTATTTAGTGTTTTCTTTCCGGGTAAAGAAGGGCGAATTTTTCGATGGTTTTCATTTGGAACTGCTGTGATTATCGTCTATATATTCATTTTAAGAATGTATTCTTTTAATCCGAGAATAATTATCTGGGATGTTTTTACACTCCAGCGGCAAAAAGTGCGAATTATTGTAAATATTGTTTTGTATGGATATTGTTTAACATTTTCTTTCTTTTTTAATTATTATTCTTTACAAGTTCTTTTTGAATAAAAAAAAGGTCTTTAAATACTTGATTAAAAAGTTAAAATATAAAATATAAATATAAAAAAAAACAGTTTTACATAAGTTTGCATTTTAAACTGCTGTCAGCCCATGTCAGTACATAAGCTTGACATTGATATAATTTCGAATTTATCATTTTTTCCGAGAATAGATTGTTGAAGATTTTTTTCTTAATCTACATGAAAAGAACGATTCTGTTAGTATCTAACGATTTTGCTAAAACATTAAAAAATTTAACTAGATATACACACAGATGTAAAAATATTGTTGGGTCAACAATTTATTAGATTTATATAGTACACTCAAATTGATTGTTAAAATGTCAAAGTTCACCATACTTGAGATTTTAAGTAATTATTTTGATTGATCAACAAAATTATTTTCCGATTTTGTATCTAGTTAAATTTTTAGATACTTCAGCAAAATCTTTTTTTCCATGTATTTTAATGACAATCATCGTTGTACTAATTATCAGTATTATTATAACATCGTTGCGTAAATTTTATATATGATAAAAAAAGCTGCGCAAGCACAATGTAACGATATCACTAACACTGTCATTAAGAGTTACAGATGCTGTGTTCCAAAATTGACTGTCAGTACTGAAAATCTATAGTGCAACGTAAACTGTAGCATTTTCAGTGCTGGCAGTAAATTTGGAATACAGCCAGAATAGGGATCTCAAAAGAATCCCAGTACTTTCCGATAAGCAATCTTTTCTGATAAATTTGTCTTACAAATTTCCTTTTCTTATCTTTATAAAAGTTTTATAAATTTATCAGAAAGACAAGATATTTTTTTATCTTTACAAAAAAGGAAATTTGTAAGACAAATTTATCAGGACAAAATATCTTTATCTTTATAAAAAAAAAATTCTCAGACCGCAGCCGCAATTCTTCGAGTTCCTTACGAGCAGTTACTTAAAATCATAGCACAATTATAAATTTTAAATCACAGTATATGTTCACAGTTATAATAGTAGTGTGAAGATTGTAAATAAATTTCTTTCTTTTTAACAGTAACTCACGAATATATTACATCGCATTGCGTGGTCGGTATGCACTCGAGAAGTGGTCCACGCGGCCTTCGTGGCATCGATTGTCGATCGATCGGAACGCAAAACGAGTATTAACGTGCCTCGTGACATCGAACAGCCAAACCTGGATTCTCGAGATGCCTCACCATCTTCGTCCTTCCGCATCTTTTTTAAACGGCCGCGCCGCGAGATTGGCGAGACACCAGGGCATAACCCCAATACGATCGGTACGCTCGGTGGGGACCGCGCGCTCATCCGTTAGCGGTACTCCAGTCCCAATATCGTTATCCAATTAGACAGGCTATCAGGCCGGAGCACACAGGTGCACGCAGGTGCGCCCGCTTGCAATTTCCCGTACGGCGTCGCTCCTTACCGGTGCGGCGCGGCGACGCGGGAGATCGGAATGGAAAGTGGTAGGCACGTAGAACGAGGGACGAGAAACGTGGATATGCGTGATCTTGCTCGCACCGATCGCCGTGATATCGGCCCGTACGCAATCCCATTTTTACATACCTTCCAGGCAGAGTGACATGGAAAGAACGATTTTATCGAACCATCTAAAACTTTAGCTACATACAGATTGAAAAATAATATTAATTATATAGGAATGTTAAGCATAACGAGCAACACTGCAAAAAGTCTAACATTCAGCTTCATCGTTCTACATAATTATTTTGATAGTCTAATCAAATTATTATCAGATTTGTATCTAGCTGTATCTTTAGATGTTTTAGCAAAACTATCCTTTCCGTGAACAGATCGCGCGTTAACTTTAATTTTAAATTAAATCGTGACTTATCATCATTTTGATGTTAAAATGAATCGAAAAGTGATTTTTAATAATCATTTTAAAGCCATTTTGATGTCGAGATGACTTTATGTTCTGCTTGGGCTCTTTAAGAATCGCGCATTCTTCGACCGTTTTTACAGCCGAGAGGAAATCGAAGGAACTTGCGAAGAAAGATGGCCACTTAAACATGTGTAAACTATTTTTTGCGTAACACGAATGAAGAAGTTTTAACAATTTGTCTGACAGGTGTTGCTTCGAATAGAAAAATAAACATAGGTCCTATTACAAGTAGTTACGCAACGAGAGATGAAGGAAGCTGTACGTATTGTATGACTTCTTCATCGAATTGAGTCGGAGTTCGGTTTCATAACGAGCATATTGAAATAAAAAAATTTTTTTATTTCAATATGCTCGTTATGAAACAAGTTGTATAGGCGCTTTTATCTATTCAAGTATTCTCTGGATAATAATGCGGGACGAGCATCATTATAAAAAGCATCAATACCGAGTGGCATCGACAGGTATGGTAGATGTTCCCAGAAACTAATCGGGAATTCCAAAAATAGAAAAAATTTACCACCAAAATTGAATGAAATAACAAGTTCCTCTTGAAATAAATAATCATTTTAAATTGTAAAGAAAAAAAATATATATATACATACACATGCATATAATAGAGACTTGATTTTTGTGCAATATAATATATCACACCTTTACAGAAATCTAATACTTACCAATTTATTATTAAAAGTCAAAAATTAATTACTTATTTGGAGTATTAAAAGCATTATTGTTTAATATTGAAAGGACAACAGTGCTTTTAATATTGAAAGTAAGTAATTATTATTTTCCAGTTTCGACTAGTATGATTTTTGTAAGGGAATGCACAGAAAAATTAGTTTCATTAAAGTATTTAAAAATTTAGCTATATACAGATCTGAAAATAATTTTGTTGATCTCAAAATAATTATGTAAGACGCTTAAGTGATGATAACAATGCTGTAAAAAGTTTTAACATTCTAGTAACTAGTTTGAGCTTATTTAATAATTTACAATTATTTTGATGATCTAAACAAAATTATGTTCAGATCTACATACGTATATCTAGCTAAATTTTTAGACACTTCAGAAAAACCGTTCTTTCCGTGTATAACGAATAGAAAATTCTTACCCTCGATAACATAAATGTTAACTGTATTCGAAGCAATCGTTAAGAAGCGTTAGCTTCATGCACGTCTCGAAAGAAAATCCGAACGTACTTTTTTTACAAACCGCAAACAGCTATTGATTGGATTTTATCGTCTTTTTTTTTGCGTTCGACTTTGATTCCGTTTAACGGCATCACCGCTTGGAATTGTACAATAAAGAACCAAATAAATAATCCTACACTCATAAACGGAGATATATTACAAATTAACGAAATAGAGAAAGCAAATCTGTGCTATCCATAAACACGTCCCTGAGGGAGACGCGAAAGAGGAATTTCGCATTGCTTCATGATACGGCCACTTCGCAGCACGTCGACGGCGACATATCGGCGAATGAAGCTGGCACGTTGCGATCACGATCGACGTGAAATTTCGTCGGCGTGTTACGGCAAGACAGTGTTACGGATGCGAATGAGCGTGCGAGGAAGAAAGAGAGAGAGAAAGAGAAAAGCTCACTCGCGCTCGCTCATTCGACCTCCGAAGGCTTGCCTGTCGTCCCGCAGGCTAAGCGCGCACGAGCTTTCTCCCGTGCGTGGCTCGGAATGCGGCCTCTCCCTCGGTCGGCCTCGAGGAGAAGTCACGGAGGCACGTCGTCCTTCCTATCCACCGCCGTTGCCCCGCCGCGACGTCGATCGATCGGCGCCCGTCTCGCTCGCTCGCTCGCTCGCTCGTCGGGTCGAGATCGTTGGGGATCGTAATGATCGCGCGCGTATTACGTGTCATCGATCAATCGCGAATACCGCGCGCGGCAGGCAGGACGGCGCGGGTCCGATACGTACGTGGTATGCCACATCCATCACGCGAGTAACGAGTAGCATTGCGGTGAATGGACTTCGAAGATTATAACAGCGGTTCTGTATTTTTACACACGTGATCTCATGGATCGTAAACCCGCAACAATGATCGCAACATCGAAATCTTTTTCCTTACCGAAGAGAACGTCGTCTTCGCGTTAGAGGGTGTGACTGTTGCATCGTCCACGTACCCACTTCAAGAATGTATATTAAGAGACAAAAACGGCAATTATCATAATTTAACTATAATTTGTAGTCATTTTGGGACAACTGTATATCTATATTTTAATCGTGCAAATATGCACCCTGCTTGAAAATCTTTAATTTTTTTAAACATATTTTTTTAGTCGTTATTACCACATAAATAGTGTTTTGAGAAAATAATTATATTCATAATAATTACGATTGCATTTGTTGAATAATAATGTTTATCTTATTTACCATTTATATCTTGATATTTTACTATATTTAAAATTATTATAATTTGTAGTAAAATATGTTCACGTTTGAGAGAACTATATATTATATATATAGTTATTATTACTAACATTACAGCAGTAATGACCATAAAAATGGAGCTCTTAACCGTAATTATTTTAACACATGCAATTATAGTACTAAACACTTTCCTCTCAGCGTATTCCTTTAAGAAAAGATTATATGCATTCTTAGGACAGCAGCGCTGTTAACTAATCACTTAAGAGAATCCTAAAGTGAAGTCTGAATTCCTGGAGAACTGCTTGGACGAAATCGCTGTTTTACCGAAGTGCGACACATTGACAAAAAAAAACTAATTGTTATATAAAAATTATTGCGTTTAGTCTGTAAAGCAGACGACTTTAGGATTTCTTTAAATCACTTTTTGTAGTTTACTTCACGGATCTGAACGACATTTTAATTAACCGTAATTGAAACAACTATTAATGAAATATAAGTTTTTGGTAACTTAAAAATTAAATGCATTGAAAGAACACTAATTAAAACACTTATTAAAAATTAATTATATTAATATTTATTTCCATTAAACTGTCCATTGAATTTAATACTTTTTGCGTTTTTCCATATTCTTCTTCGTTCTTAGTAAAGCTCTCCGAAGAATGCAAATCTAAATGTTTCTCTCCCTGCAAAGGAATTCGTATAACGGCGCAGTTATGCGACTTGGTCCCGTTTCTTCGGTAAATCGCAAAATTGTTTTGTCAAGATTAGGCACACACCGCGCATTCTCTTTCGGACGCATAATTAGCGAGCGGCTACCGCTCGAAAAACTCGTTTCGCGCGCACGCGATAGTTGCATAATCGCGGCCACGCATACACGCGGCGATACCAATTTTCGCGGCGTAAGAAAGGCGCGTCGAACTGCATTCCGCGTAGAGGTGATTTGCTAGATCTTCCGGCGCCTGACCTCACAATCACACTATGCGCTTTCTATATTTAGTTGTGATGCATTTCAGAAAACTCTCGTGATTACCAAGATTATATTATATTTACCAATTAGGTGTTAAACTTAATTCCTGCTGTTTTTCGTCTCCAAAATTGATTTGTTTCGAAAGGAAATACCTTAATCAAAGTATTATTAATTAGTAATAAA